AAAAAAAAAAAAAAAGAAAGAAAATATCCCTCAATTTGGAATTATTAAAGGGCAGAACATCATGTTGGTACCAAATTGTAGTTCTAATTTTTCTAAGTGATCATGTACCAATTTAAGCTGCTCCCAATATTAAGTATGTACTCCAATTTTTCCCTGAACCTCAGAACTGAAAAACAAACTAACTGCTAAAATTACTGTTCCTTTAAATCAGTGTAAAGATGCGTTAATTTGTTCCTTATTAGCTGCAAAGCTGAATAACTTCCCATTTGTGTCAACTGCTGGGTCACCTGTGCATTCCCATACTTTCAGAGGCTTGCCAGCTTCCTCAGAGTTGGCTGAGTGCTACTTATATCCACACTATTGACCAAACCAAGACATCCTAAAATTCTTAAGCAACCAGCCACCCCAGTGCCCGCATGCTGGAAGCCATGGTACCTGTGCCTCTGCGGGCTTCTTTGAGAGCTCCGTCAGGAAACCCCACATGCTCTGCTTCAGCTTCTTCATGTCCATCTTTTTGGCAGTCTTTGCATAATGAATTTCAAATTTATTTACCTGAAATTGGTTATGACAAAGTAAACTAAGCAGGAGAAAAGCTAATTCATGTATTAGGTTCTATCACATCACTTAATGTAAAAAACTGGAGTCCAAAGGAAGCCAGTTTAAAGAAAGGAGTTAGAAAGCTCTCCTATTATATAGGAGAACAGAATTCTCCTTCTCAAATCCAATTCCTATTTCAGCAAGTATAATTTTTATTAAGACTGACCTAGAGCTTCCATGTAAGAGATAATAAAGTCAAATACATGTATGAAAACCCCAACCCCATCATCATTTGCTTTAGAAAATGCCGTTTGGGGGGTTTTTTGCAGATGCTTAATGCAAGCAAATGTAACACAAAAAGAAACTAAGATTCTCTAAAATAAAACAGTTGCTTTCCTGAGCTGTGTAAATGTGTCTTTTCTGCCTACAGTGTTTATTTGCATTTTACTTATAATGGGTCCCACCCTAGTCATGTCTTATCAAGGTCTTTGAAGAGATGGTCAGTTTCAGAGCATCAACTCATTCTTCACAGTGCAGTTTAAGACTCAGTCACAGGTCAAACTTGAGAAGAAGAAAAACCAAGCAGAGTCTAACATGACTTTCATATAGGAGATGAAACAATGAAGTGAATGAAGCCACCTTTGCCCGCTCCATCCATACCTTCTGAGGCTCAGCCACCAGATTTGATTCTCCGTAAGTCATGATGTCTATTCCTTGCATTTCTTCAGAAGCATCATTATTCTCTTGTGGTGTTTTAGAGGGGCGGCAAGAATCAAGTGTAAGGTCAAAGGCCCCAGATGACCCCACAAATAAATCATCTGGCTCTTCATAATCACTGTCAGCAGCCTAGACAAGCAAACAGCTCTTTAAAGTTGGGCAGAAAACAATCAAGACAGCTTAAAATGTCCTCTACATGACAAGAGCAAGCATCCTGACAGTTCAAGTGACTCAAGCTTAGGAAGAGTTTTAGCTGCCTCTAGTTATCGTTCTAAGCGAACTGAAGCTGGGTGGATCTCTTCATCCACACTGAGCTCTCTAGCTGGAAGAACTTAGCCTATAACTACCATAGTGTTCCTTTTGGATTTGACCAGTTTAGGATTTGCTACCAAAAGAAGAAGCAGAGGAACCACTGAATGAGCTCCTCAGTGGCTTCAGGGACTTTGTGGACAGTGCTCCACCAAGGGCAGCCCGAAGACCAGCAGCAGTGTAGGCACTCCCTGGGGAAGTCATGAGCAAGCCACTGCCACCCAGCACTGGACGAAGACACAGATGCTCAGGAGGTGGCCAAGGAGCTCCTCCACAAGTTCCCCAGATGAGACCATTTGTTACCAATAATTACAAATTATTACTAGTTCTGTAATTATTTGCTAATAAATTTTCGGCTCCCTATCTACAAGGTAAAGTTGAAGTACTGTCATTAAAACAGAACAGCCTACTACTTGCAAATAAGACAGGACAGTGGAGACAGTCTTCTCCAGGTGCAGGGACACTCATGTAGACTAGTACTTCTCCCCTCTGTTACTCCTTCTCCATGTACAGGGACACTCATGTAGCCTAATACTTCTCCCCTCTGTTACTCCTTCTGCAGGTGCAGGGACACTCATGCAGCCTAATACTCTCCGTTACTTGTATTTGCTATCTCATATCTAGGCTCATGGCTCTCAACATTATGGCGTCTATTCTCCTTGTAAGATAAGCAGTCGATAGTGAAGGTTCATTATGTGAAAGTCAACATCACAGCTGAGCCTGGTCTCCTAAAGAGGAGCTACCCCACAGATCCAGTACCCATTACCACATCACCTTCACGTGTCTATGTTCTATCTCCCTAGATAAAATAATAGCTTCTAAGAATAGGAAGACTATTTTATGTACTTTTGAAACCCCAAACAAAGAAGGTAAAACACTTTTCATAAGCTAAAGGCTCTATCCACCTAAAAGCTGACTGATGTACTTGGGCATGTCATTTCATTTCATGAATATAAGGCTTGAGGCAAGTCAGGCCAAAGTCAGGGCCTTCACCCCAGCTCTGTTCTGTTTCTGGATGCCTAAGGCAGTACAGACCCAGTATCCAGAAAACTCCCCAATTCAGAGTGTCCTACAGGGAAAGCAGCGAAGGGAACAGGAGAGCAGGGCCCACCTGCTAGACACATCTGCATCTCTCACCTGTAAGCCAGGACAATAGTTGGATGTGTCGTTAGGGTTGTTGTAATCATAATCGTCAATTTCTTCATACCGCTCACTTCCTGCCTTCTGTTCCTGGGATTTTTTAAGTAACTAAAACAGAAGAAAAAAACAGGTTTAGAAAGCAATTTCTAGAAAAACAGCTACTGACCTAAGCTGGGTAAAGAGATTCCTTCCATAAGATTACAGACATTCAGAATGAACAGGGTCAGCTTTTCAGCTACACAGCTCTCCTGGGTAAGTGAAGGTAATGGAAACAGACCCTCCGCTCATCTAGGCCAGAGCAGCTCCTTCCTACCCAGATAGCAACAAGGGCTGCTACACACAACTGCACTGGAAAAACTGTTGTTCGTAGGTGCCATCAAGGTGACCAGGATCCAGAGTGACATCTTGGGCCATCCTCAAGATCACTAATATGTTTGAGCCCATAGAGTCACTGTGTCAATTTTGTTGAGGGTCTTCCTCTCTTTCTCTGACCCTCCATCTTTCCCAGCATGGTGTCCTGTCCTAAGGACTGGTTCCTATATGCCCCAAGTACGTGATAAAACTTTCACCATCCTTGCCTCTAAGAAGCATTCTGGTTACATTTCTTCCAAGACAGTCATGTTTGTTCTTCTCCAACACCACAACTCAAGAGCATCAATTCTTCTCTTTATCACTGTCCAACTTCCACATGCACAGAAAGTAACTGAAAAGACCATGGCTTGAATTAAGCATATTCTAGTATTTAAGTGGATACCCCTGCTCTTTAGCATTTTGGAAAGATCCTTGACAGTAGATTTCCCCAGCGATACTTGGGGAATCTTCTAATTTCTTGACTGCTGTTACCATGGATGTTGACCGTAGATTCAAGTAAAATAAAATCACTGATGTTGTATACTAGTCTAGTGGTAAGGATTTTTGTTTTCTTGATACTGAGATGTAGTCCATAAAAAAGGTTGCAGTTTTCGACCTTCAGCAGAAAGTGCTTCAAGTCCTCTTCACTTTCTGCAAGCAAGGTGTGTCATCTGCATAATGTAGGTTATTGTGACTCTAATGCCATACTCTTCACATAGTCCAGCTTTTCAAATGATTTGATCAGCATAGAGACTGAAGAGGTATACAGAAAGGATATTCACCTCTATACACACCTTTCCTGACTTTAAACCATGCTTTGTTCCCATGTTCTGCCTGAACATAAAACATAATTAAGCATCTTTCTGGTATCTCTCTGCTTTCAGTCAAGATATATCTGACATCAGCAATGATAACCCTTACTCTATGAACTCTTCTGAATATAGCTTGAATTTGAAAACTGGTTCCTTTATTAAAATTAAGGAACTCTGGTGGTACAGTGGTTGAACATCCAGCTGCTAACTGAAAAGTCCAAACCTACCAGAGCCTCTGAGGGCAAAGGGTATGGCAGTCGTTTCTAAAAGGGTACAGCCCTGTGAACCCTGCAGGCCGTTCTACTGTGGGCTGGAACTGACTTCACAGCAACAGGTCTTAGCAAAAATGAAAAACAGCTGGAAATCCCTGACTATAGATTTCTGAGAAGTCAATGTGTTGCTTGACCAATTTTGGCAGGAAAGTTCCTTAATTTGCACATTATCTGTCTCATGGTGGTAGGTAAAGAGAACATTCTAGCTCTTCTCCCAGAAATTCTAGCCATGAGTTCTTGACCTCATTTTGTGTCCTTTTAAAGGACACGTTTGCTTCCTCTTTGGGAATGCCCACTGACTATGGATCTTAAAAATATATGCAGACCTTCAGAATAGTAGTTTTACCTGAGGTGTGTGACTCTGATGAGGGAGGGAAGCAAGGTGGGAGGTTTGTACAGTTTATGAAATATGCTGACGAACTTTATACTCTGAAAAACAACCTCTTCCTGAAAAACTCTCACAAAGTTTTTGTTAAAATAAATAAAAAATAATACTGGATGAGCATTTATTATTTAAAAGATATATATATATACACATATATACATGCATACCACAATTTTTAAAGTTCTCGTTTTAGAATACTCTCCCGTGATCACATTCTGTAAGAAAATGTTTCCCAAAAGTCTACAGGGTCCTTCTCATGTTTCATCAAGTTACTGAACTGCACATGTGGTTAATACGTATAGTACAAGCTACAGTGTTTAATCATCACTGTCCTAGCTCTGCTGAAATAATGTGAGATCTCTGGCTTCTGCTGCCAGGCCGTCCAATGACACATAGGGAAATTCATTCCTATGGATAATCTGAAGCTGTGCTTTCCTTTGTAAAACATTACGGGAAGGGAAAGATTAACCAAAGCCCCAGCTCCAGGAGTGCAATGCCCCTGTGACTTTTTTCCTACCTTGATCACATTTGAATTGGCAAATTACTACCCAGGCCACATAACTGAAATGTTAACAAGTGCGTAAGAAAAACTGGTGGTTCAATGGTGGAATTACAAACTGGTTCCTCATGCCCAGTCATCACCCATCTGTCAGAGGACTGCAAGTTGATATAAAGCTATATAGGTTTCAGTAGGATCTTTCAGATGAAGAGAACAGGAAGAAAGGACAGGAATCCACTTCCAAAACTCCACAAGTAAAAACCCTATGGATCATAGTAGCCTGATACAATTGATCCTAGGGATGGTATGGTGCAGGGTGCAAAGCCAGACCCCTTTTACTCCACTTGGTTGACCAATTCAAGGGCATCTAACAGCATCAACAGGGCTGGAGGGTGGCCTGTGACCAGAGAAAGAAGTAGCTTCAACATGTAATGTCACAGGGCTTCATTCCTGTTCTATCATCCTCCTTCAGCCTGGCTGCTTTCCTGCCTCAGGGACCTAGAATACAGAGACAGTTGCTGCTGGGATCTAACAATACTGATCATAGGGACAGTTCCCATTACTGCTGCAACTTTGTATCTTTTTGTGTTTTTAAGATTATTTTTGTTAATTTAACAATACTGATGGAGGGGAGAAATCTACTAGGGTTTGTTAATGAAACTAGAATATGAGAAGTCAGTAAATTCAGGGAATGAATATGTATCACAAAGACCTGTGAAAAAATTGGCAGAATAAAGGAAGAGGAAACTACAAAATGCCTATATGTAGATCCCACAGAGTTCAGCAGGCCAAATGCACATGAGCAGGATCCAAATAAAACAGGAATTAGTTCGGTTACCCTGCCACTTGCTTCAACCAAATAAAGCAGAGTTAAATAAAGCCTCATTATAGTGGAGCAGTACATGGTCTAGAGTCTCCCTAATAGCAATTCTAGAAGCCCAAGAACTTGTTGAATATCTGTCACCAAAGAGTGCAGCACACACATCACCCTCCGTGTCACCACCGGTTTGCATCTGTTGTTAGATACCATCAAGCTGACCCTTTGAACAACAGATCTGAACCTTACCCTCTCCTGTGCCATCCTCACATGGTATCCTGGAGTATCTCTAAGATGCTCAAGCTTACTGTAATAGTAAATATGTCAATCTAGCTGGTTGACAGTTTTCCTCTATCTCTCAGACCCTCCGCCTTTCCCTGTATGATGTCTTTCTCTAAGGACTGGCCCCTCCTTGCCTCTAAAGGGCACCTGGGGGCACCTCCGAGACAGACTTGCTGCTCTTTTGGTGGTCAGTCTGCGGACTGCTCCAGACCCTTTTCCAACACAACTAGAAGAGGTTTCTTCTACTCTGTGGGAAGTACCAAACCAGTGGATCCGCAATATTAATGGGCAAAAAAAGTCAAAGTAATTACTGCTGAACTGAAGTTGGTTCACAGCCGACCCCGAGCAGGTCTTGTCTTCAGAGGCTGTAAACCACACAGGAGACTACCCATCATTCTCCCATGGAGCTGCTGGTGGACTCGAACCAGCAGGAGGAGCTGTCTTTAAGTTAGCAGTGCAATTCTCTATGGACTATGTCACCAGAGCTCACAATGTCAATAAAGGGACAGGATGCAAAAAATTATTAAAAGCAAGTCAAAACCCAAAACCTTCTGAATTTATCTTCCCATGACCAACACATCCCCTCCTTCAGGCTCTTCTTTCCCTCAAAGGCACTGCCTGGCAGTCATATGGGACACCTTCCCTATACCATAAGCAGGAGTCCTGCTGGTGTAATGGTTACGTGCCTGAATGCTAATCAAAAGGTCAGAAGTTCCAATCTGCCCATAACTGGTGATCAGCTCCCATAAAAATGAGCCCTAGGAAACACTGTGGACATACTATACTTAGTCCTGCGGGGTCACTAAGCATTACCACAATACACTAAAAAACAAGTCTGGAAATAACAGGGGTGAAGGGGAGCTAAACAGCACCTCACCCTGACACCTGGTTTAAGATACAACTGAATGAGGTTATCAATTTCATAATGGAAATCTGTAGGAAGAGTGGTAGCTCTCCAATTCTGGTTCTCCAAGGTGCTCCTGGTCAGAACAGTGGCAGCCTGTTAAAAAAGAGAAAGTCACTTTGAGATATCTTTAAAAAGAACAGTCAAAGAATTTTTTTTTTCTTTTCTCATTTTTAAAGGCAACTGAGAAGAGTTTGAGCAGCACTAGCACAAACAGCTGGCTATTATCATACTCACCTACTAACTAGGAGAGTGAGGTTCAAATCTACACAGAAACACTTTAAAAGCAAGCCCACCAATTCTGGAAAGCAGTTTGGCGCTTCCTTAAAAAGTTGAACACAGAAATTCCATATGACCCAGCTATTCCACTACTTGGAATATACCCTAAGTAAACAAAAACTGAGGCACAAACTGAGATTTGTACACCAATGTTCATAGCAGCATTATTCACCATCAACAAGAGCATGGAAACAGCCGAAATGTCCAACCACAAACAAATGGATTGAGAAACTATGGTCCATTCACACAATGGAATACTATGCAGCATGCAGGAGCAATGATTTTGTAAATCACTATCTAACTTGAGAGGGACTGGAGAGCATTATGCTGAGTAAATTAACTCAGTGCAAAAAGGATAAATACTATATAAAACCATTATTGTAGACTGAGTATAAGGATCCAAGAGGGGTGGGAGAGGTTGGAAGTAGAGGGATGAGGATGTGCAGGGGGAGGGAGGGGATTAATCACAATTTGATGGATGGGGCAGTGAGGGAATTTGAAAGAATTTGTTCTTGAAAACAATGTGTTCAAAATTCGTAAATAAACTAGTAGAAAATTAATAAACAAAAAAAAAAAACAACACCAAGCCCACGATAGGGCCCAGCTATTCCACTTCTAGGAAACATACCCTGAGCGAATCAGGACTGAGACATAAACCGAGATCTGTGCACCAATGTTCACAGCAGCATTATTCACTATCATAAGAACATGGAAAGGGAGCTCTGGTGGCCTAGTGGCAAGAAGCTGCACTGCAATTCCAGAGGTACGCAGTTTCAATCCACCAGATGGTCCACTGGAGAAGGAGGGGCAATCTCCTCCTGTACCAGTCAGATCCGATTTGACGGTACACACACACACACACACACAAATAATAAAACTGAAAGAAAAAAAAAGAACATGAAAAAGCCCAAAAGTCCAACCACAATGGAATGGACTGAGAAACTGTGGTACATTCACACAATGGAATACTATGCAGCACAGGAGCAATGATTTCAAAAGTTACTACTACCCAACTTAGGAGGGACTGGAGACTATTATGCTGCGTGAACTACTCAGTCCCATAAGGATAAATACTGTATGAGACCATTATTATAGAAATAGATAACTAATAAAACATGTATGAAGATGCAAAGGGGGAGGTTAAGAGCAGAGGAGTGAGGATGGGAAGGGGGAAATCATAGGATTGCACAAACTGATGGTTGGAAGGAGAGGAGCATAAAGGAATTAAGAAAAATCGGGCGGGGATCTGGAAAGACAGGGCAATGGTGGGTATTGTTCAAGGTTGATGAATTGTATAAAATATAATGAATGGGTATGATGGCATGAAACACAATGTGAATGAAGGATAGTGTGAAACAATGTATATGAACTTTGTAAGCACACTAACATAAAAGAAATTTTTTTTAAAAAAAGAGTTCAGTAGAGAATTTCAGGAAGAAGGAAATTATGAAGGGGAAAAAAAAGCAAGTCCAGATAATTGAGTTCAGAAAAACTGGTCCTGCAGCTCCTCCAGAGCATGACTACCCTGACACATAGGGCTGCCAGGCACAGAAAGCCAGCTACAATGGTCAGTCACTAGTGAGATCCAAGGTCCTGGAGCTCTACATTAAAATTCTGTTAAACATGATTCCCCTTAAGATAAACTTGGTTTGATTCTGAAATGGCATTTGTGACTATTTCTCAATGTATTTAGAGAATATGGGAGAGTGAAATCAGTTGTTTTAGTTAAATTTACAATGAAGTTTGAAAAACAAAATCTGAATGTGGAAGAAAAGTGTAACAAGAGAGCACAAATGTTAATGAATGCAGGACAGACCTTTGTTTTATGAAAATATGCATCAAAGTCAGTATCATCTTCAAAGTTGATTTCAAAATCCTTCTTTGTATTCTTCTTTCTATTCTCTGACTGAGAGGTAGCATCTTCTGTAGAATGAACACAGATGTCAGTATGGTCCCTTCTGTGGCTTAAAGTATTTGCTCATCTCACAAAACTTTATCAATCACACAACCACATCTATACCTGTGCATTAAATCATGTATGTCTCAGACCTGTAATTTGTTTTCACTTAAACAATTTTTAAAAACTATGCTAATTAAGTTCTTCTGAAGGACCCCCAAACCGCTGGTCCTGTTCTGTCCCGAGTGGACGGCGAAGACCCAAGACTCCAAGACACCGGCTTGATGCAACAGCAAGAGATAAGAGGTTTATTGCCGAGCTCCGGCCGACTCTTATCTCTGGCAAGAGATAAAGGAACCGACCGAGAGCAGACAAAGTTGGTTTTTTTTATACACTTTAGGGGGATACAACTGAGTATCAGCTTCTCATTGGGTGATGAAAGCACAATTTGAATTCATTGGTTCAGTGTTCGCTCAGGGTTTACACAGCATTGTTGCACGTAGCACTTGCGGCAGTCACGTAGCACATGTAGCAGTTAGATAGATCTTTAACCATAGAGTGGTGTCATAAATTCTTAAGTATACAGTGAGTTCAAACTCCAGGGCAGTGGAAAAGCACAAGATACATTGGTTATCAGTCGGGAAACAAAGGCACATGGGTTATCAGTTGAGCTTATTTGTTCTGCCTTTCTGCTAGCTATTCTTGAAATACTGTTGCCCTGGATACCTGGGTGTGGGGCTTTAAAAATTAACTTAGCTGAGAACTATAGAAACTTAAGTTTAATTCAGCTGAGAACTATAGGGACTATTTTAATTTCAATCTTTTCACTTCCTTTCAAAGGGAGAATGCAAAACACAGACTGTTGATAACATCCATGAATAAGACCTTCTGAAGATTAAGTCCCTGTGCGTATCAAAAATTTCTCAGTAGGGTGAAAAGAAAACTCACTGTCTGGGAAAAAAACATTCGGCAATAACATCTCAGACCAGGTCTCATGACTAAAGTTTACAGAATCCTACAGGGCCTCTATAAGAAAAAGACTGATAACACAATTACAAAATGGGCAAAGGACATGGGAAGATCTTGGGAAAAGGAAGATATTTGGATGGCCAACAGACACGTGAAATAATGTTCAAAATCCCTGGCACTAAGAGAATGCAAATCAAAACCACAGTGAGATACCATCTTACCACAGTAGCAGGGGCAAAGTTTAACAGAACAGCAAATAATAAATGCTGGAAAGGATGTGGAGAGATTGGAACTCTTATGCACTGCTGATGGGATTGTAAGATGGTACAACCACTCTGAAAGGCAGTTTGGTACATCCTCAAAAAGGAGAATACAGTGATTCCATATGACCCACCTATTCCACAGTTAGGAATATACTCCAAGGAAATTAGAACTGAGACACAAACTGAAATTTGTACACCAATGTTTATAGCAGCGTTATTCACAAAAGCAAGGACATGGAAACAGCCCCAAATATCCATCAACAAATGAACGGATTGAGAAACTGGTACATTTACATGATGAAATACTATGTAGCACTCAGAAGCAATAATTTTGAAAAATCCTATATAACATAGGAGAGGCTAGAGAGCATTATGCTGAGTGAACTAGTAAGATGTTTATGGATATCCAAAGAGGGAAGGGAAGGGTGCAGAGAGAGAGAGCTGAGCTTGGAAGATGGGAGGAAATCATAGGGTCACAGAGTTTGGTGGGTGGAGAGGGGTAAAGGAATTAAGAACGATCCAGGATCTAAAAAAATAGTAGTGGGCACAGATCAATGATGACTAATTTTTTAAGATACAATGTATAGCTTTCCTTCTCCATCTTGCTTTGTGTGGCCCTGTTTTGTCTTCACTATGTCTTCTCATAGACTTTAAGGATCAAGAGGTTCCTGGCCAAGAAACAAAAGCAGAACTGTCCCATTTCTCAGTGGAATTTAATGAAAACTGGCAATAAAATGAGGTACAAATCCAAGAGAAAGCACTGGAGCAGAGCCAAGCTGGGCCTCTAAGGAGCCACACATGAAAACAGGTCACATAACAACAGACCAAGGAGAACTGGAAGAGCCTAGCTGGACCTCTAAGGAGCCGTACACAGCACTGCAGGACACATAACGGACCTCCATTCATCGCATCACATTATGTCAAGCTAACTGATATGCTACCATATCAAGTTTAAAATTAGGTCACAATCTGATCACTTTCCACGGAACGCGTTTCGCTTTGAAGCACCCATGTTTTCAAGAAATACATAAGACCTATGGTGTGTAAAAAAAGAAAAAATACACAATGTACAGAAATGACTGTAAGAAACACAATGTGAATGAAAACAAATAAGCATTAAAATATTTTTTTAAAAACCACCACCCAAGATGCTGCACTTCAATCCCAGAGGTATGTGGTTCAAATCCACCAGATGCTCTGCTGGAGAAGGAGGGGGCAATCTCTCCTGTACCAGTCAGATCTGATTTGACAGTACACATAAAACTAATAATAATAAAAAAAAAAAAAAACAAAAAAAAACCACCAAGGACTGTTGGCCTTGCCCTCAGAGATGTGCAGAGCACATCCTTGTACAGGAATGCAGGAGGGCCCTCCAAAGCCTGGTCATTTCCACTTACATCCCTGTTTGAGATCATGGAAATACTGAGCAGTACACGACATGGCCCCACTCTCCTAACACCAGGTACTTGCACTCCCCACCCTGAAGACTCCATCTTACTTGACCCTTCATCTCAGGCCAGGTCAACTGACCACCCAACCAAGAGGCTGCCTCCCCTGGAGTTTTCTTCAGCTCATCAGATGGTAAAACAGTACAGTAAATGGCCTTCCCCTTCCCCTTCCCTGGCTGAAATGCTAACAAGCTAGTCACCTATCTGATCTCTTCCCATTCCACCTAGGAATACATACGTTTGCGTCGAGGTCTAAAGTGCCAATGCTCTGGGCCAGCCCACATGGACATGGTGCGGGGACTGAAGTAGGAATATTCTCCAGGTTTCATGGACAGAAGAGGACACATGGTCCTAATGTCTCCATCTCCGAGGGGAATGAGATCTTCCCTGTAACAGACATGAAATCAAAATGTTTACATACATACAGCTTATGCAGTAGTTTGAGATTTTCTACAAACAAGCAACATATCTCAAAATAAGTCCAATACTTCACTCACTCACTCACTCACTCACTCACTCACTCACTCACTCACTCATTACTACCGAGTCAGAATGGATCCACAGCTGACCCTCCAGTGGATTTGTAGAGGCCCATCTTCCTCTCACCAAGCCACTGACACAGTCAGATGACCAGAGAGGACAGTGCAACTTCCTGTGGACTATCAATCACACATCCATGTCACTACTGAGACCCCCTCCTCCCTGTGGACTGTCGCCCACAGCTCAACTTTTACTACTGGGACTCCCTTATTTCCCACTTTTCAAAGTACCTTCCTGACTTAAATTTTATGACAACACAAATATGCGCATATTACAGCACACCATTAAAGTCAGTTGTGGGCATACTTGGAGGAGAAAAAAGCTTCAAGTAGTCATTGGCAAAGGAGTATAAACTACATTTTTAAAATGTTATGGGGAGATGAGAATCTGTACCAGTCATTAAATTTTCTGAAGGGCCAGTAGAAGCAAAGACAAGCTCTAAACTATCCGTGGGACCTAATTCTCTAGGAAAAACAAAATGATGGATATGTATGCGTGTGCTAAGATAAGTCTGAGATCAAAATATTTACATTTGTTCGCATGGAATAGTAAAGATTTTATTAGCATCCTTGTGAAAAAAACCAACACAAACAAATGGATGGAGAAGTTGTGGTATATTCACACAATGAATACAATGCAGCACTGAACTCACGAAATACAAAATGGGTGAACCTGGAGGACATTATGCTGAATGAAATATCTCAGGCACAAAAGGACAAATAATACATAATGCCACTGTTATAAAACAGGACTGACATCAGGGTTGGGGAGAAACTAAGAAAAGAGGGGGTAAACAATGTACACTGAATTGAAATGGATGAGGGAGAGAAATGCTTAAATGGAATATATGATTAGGTATTATTTGCATGACAACAGTCAAGAGTAAGTGCTACATAGTAAAATGGACTCGGGGGTTGGTGGGGAATTGTATAACAATGAAATAATTTTTTTTTTCAATGAGAAAAGTGAACTTCGGGAAGGGGTAAGCAGGGAGAAAAATGTGCAACAATGAATGAATAGAAATCCATGTTCTCTATGAACTTTCATTAAAACCTCAATTAAAAAAAACCCTAATGCAAAAAGCCAAGTTTTCATACGGAATCAATCTTGAGGATTAACAGGAATAAGAAGGGATGGAGAGGGGAGTAAAACTTAAACAGAAAAACTAGGTGAAGTGAAATATATGTATATAAAAACACCCAGGGATCTGAGTAGACATTGTAATAAATTCCACTCAATAATTATCGTTAATACTACATGAAAATGTCTATGAAAGATCGAATGAAAAAAACCAGTATGATTTGTAAACTTTGATGCAAAAGAAGTTTTGGTTATTAGATGGAAATTACTGGGAAGCAACAGGCAAAGCTGTGACCCAGGCTCTGGAGGCTTCAATCCTAGCCACTCAAACCCTCCTTCAAGCCACGATGCTGTAGGACAGGTAGTCCAACACCACCCCGCGGACTCAAGCTGCCCCTCCATCACATGTCCATAACCCCTTCAAGGGGAACGCTTCACTTCCCAATCACAAGATGCTCCTGCAATTTTGCACATTAACTTAATTTCAGATCACACCACCCAGCACACAGCAGAACACCTCCATGTTCATGCGTGCACAGAGCATGTCCTACAGGCAAGCCCTGCACCACAGAGGGATTGGCTGGAAAACACAGAGAGAGCTACATGGCTGCAGGAGCAGCACATACAGCTGCTGAGACATACAGCACGTCATCAGGTGCTGCATAACGCACACATACAGCGTGCCACTTTTAATGCTGTAGGTATGTGCTAAAACACTGTTACCACAGCCGCTTACATCACACCTGTATTTATAAAACCTGTGTTTTTCCCACGTCACCTTAATTAAGAGCCAAATCTCACTGCCATGGTACTGACCTTGAATATTTTACAGATGAGTAGACAGAGCAGAACTGCTGTTTAGAGTTTCCAAGACTGTAAAACTTTACAGAATCAAGACAGCCTTATCTATGAACCACCACTACCAGAGTGAGCTGGAGTCATCCAGGAAAATTTTAAAAATTAGTAATGAGCGTGCCTGACTTTAGCTTCAAGACTCTTGTTGACTAGTCAGGGTGGGGCCGCAAGTCCACAACCTACTCAGCACGCCAGGCCAGTTAAAGTGCTGAGCGGCCTCTACACACTTCCACTAACCTTATTCAGTTTGTTTCCTCATTTGGAAAATGAAACAACAGTGTCTAATTACAGGACTTTCCAAGAATCCAGTAATTATATTTTACATATTTTATAAACTATATGAAAGAACTCTCTGATGCATAACAAGTGATAGCAAAGACCATGGCCTGTATCAGATGCACCTTAGTCTCCAGAGAGACACCACTGCTCTTCAGTACTTTGGAGAGGTCCCTAACAGCAGACTTCCCCACGGCAATGCGCCTTTTAATTTCCTGGCTACTGGTGCCAAGAGTGTTGACTATGGAGCCAAGCAAACTAAAGCTAATAATCTCTTCACCATTCATCCTGATGCTGCCAATTGGTCCAGTGGTGAGAATCTTTGCCTTCTTGACATTGAGCCTCAATCCATATTGGAGACTGCAGTCCTAGACCCTCTGCAGTAGGTGCTTCAGGTCCTCCTCAGTTTCAGCAAGCAGGGTTGTGTCATCTGCATAACGCAATCACTTGTTATGCTATCACTTATTATGTATCAGAGAGTTGGACAATGACCAAGGAGGATAGAAGGAGAATTGATGCCTTTGATCTGTGGTGCTGGAGAAGAGTATTGAGAGTACCATGGACTGCTAGGAAAACAAACAGATTCATCCTGGAAAGGGTTAAACAGGGTGGCTCCTTGGAGGCAAGGATTTTGAGGCTTCGTCTAACATACTTTGGACATGTTGTAAGGAGAGACCGGTACTTAGAGAAGGACATCATGCTTGGGAGGATGGGGGGACAGCACAGGAGGGAAGGCCCTCTATGAGGTGGATTGATTCAGTGACTGGGGTAATTGTGATTAGAGTGTCAGAGACAGTGCGATTGGCACAGGACAGAGCAGAGTTTAGGGATGTTGTACATAGGGTTGCTATGAATCGCAAGCGACTCGATGGCACATAACAACAACAAATGAAAGAACACACAGTATCTGGCACAAAATCCGAATAATAAAGGGCACAGTAAATGTCTAGTCCCAATCTCTTTAAATGGATGAGAAAACAAAGACCCCAAGGGTATGAATCTTATCTTATCTCTTTACTACATACCACTAGGAGGGGCAGGTGTTGCTCAGTTCACACATACACTGAGCTGCCAGCAAATGGCCAGGATGATGCCAAGAGCCCAGAGGAGGGAGTTTAAGTGCAGACAAAAGTCTATAGACTAAAACACACAGCTCCGACCCCTAATTGTGTTGGCTGTGATAGGAGAAAGAAACTTCTTCAAAATAATCAAAAGAAATCTGCAAAACCAAAACAGAAGTGGCACTGTTCTCTGTTGTCATGTGTCTCAAACATCACTTCACTGTTTAGGAAAAGTGAAAGCTCTTCACTGTCACCTGAAAATACCAGAAAAGCTCATTCCACCTGCCGGCCTCCCCTTGCACTGGCTGGCCTGCGGGCCACCTCCCCTTTCTCATGTTCTAGAAGATGGGTGGGAGCAGAGACCAAACCATGCAATGAGAAAGGTCCTGGATAGACAAATTCTGCCTTGAGGTGCCAATATTTAGCCATCTTCTCCTCCTCAGATTTCTACCTGGATCTGAAGAAACAGTATCAACCAAATTGTTTCCCATAGGCAAATGTTGTTGTTAGGTGCTGTTAAGTACAACTCATAGCAACACTATGAAAAGACGTGAACCGTGCCTATCCTTGACCATTCTCACCATCTCTGACACACTTGAACCCTCTGCTGCAGTCACTGTGTCAATACATCTTATTGGCTGTCCCAAATCTCAGGCTTGCAAAGCTACTGTTAGAAGCACAGGAGTTGTTGCTGTTGTATGCCATGTTGAGTTACCTGTGACTCACAGCGACTATGTACAAGAGCTCTAAACCCTTCTCTATTCTGTGCCAATCTTGTTATCTCTGACACACCTACCCCCATTACCCGTCACGGAATCAATCCATCTTATTTTTTTTTATGTTACTCATTTTAATGAACATTTACAGAGATTTTTTATTTCCATTCATTCACTGTTGCACTATTCTCCCTGCCCACCCTTCCCCCCCAGTTCGCTACTCTCTTTGAAAAGTAAAAGAAAATTTTTTTCATTGGTATCAATCCCCCCGCACCCTCCCCCCACATCCCCAAGTACACTCCACTATGCAACCTTAATCCTGGACTCTTGTGAAACCATAATGCCCTATCATATATCGCTTTTTAAAAAAATTTTTTTTTATTATTTTGTGTGTGTGTGAGTGTACCGTCAAATCAGATTTGACTGGTACAGGAGGAGATTGTCCCTCCTTCCCCGGCAGAGCATCTGGTGGATTCGAACCATGCGCCTCTGGGATTGTAGTTGCAGCTCCTTGCCACTAGGCCACCAAAGCTCCCCTCATACATCGCTTTTAAACTGTTCACTCCCTCATCTGTTTAAATGCAGTATACATAATTTATCCAGTTTGTCTCAGTATTACCCCAACCCTGATGTCAGTCCCATTCCACAACAGTGGCACCATGCAGCATTTGTCCTTTTGTGACTGAAATACTTCACTCAGCATAACGTCCTCCAGGGTCACCCATTTTGTATAATAATTCATGAGTTCCTTGTTTTTCAAAGCAGTGTAGTATCCCATTGTGTGAATATACCACAGCTTCTCTATCCATTGGTTTGTTGATGGGCACTTAGGCTGTTTCCAACTCCTTGCTATTGCGAA